CTCAGCAGTGCACTTCATCGATCTGCCTGTTCTGCTCCCCACTCTGTCTCTGGTGAAGCCTCTCGCCTCCCCTGCTCCTCCGGCCTGTACCCCAGTTCTATATGCATAAATAAATATTTTTTAAAGAAAACCTCTTTAAGAACAAAAAAAAGAAACTAAAACAACCATGGAAGTTAAAATTTCCATGAAGTCATCACTTACTTTAGACGAGATAACTCTAGGCTGGAGGTGGTACTAAGGTAGAATTGACCTGCAAACAAGAAACTATTTATACTGTAGTCAGATTACACACTGGCCAAATTTTTCCCAAAGGAAAAAAATCTGTTTTTAACAACACAATGTATACATATGTGAAATCATTATACTACATACATTAAGCATAAAAATTACATATAAATAAAAATTGGGGGCTCGAAAAAGGAAAATAAGGTTGAACTTCAAAACTATTATTTTTCATACAAAAATAAAAATGCCATTCTTTGGTAATATTTGTAAGATGTCTTTTACATAAGTATCCAAAACAAAAATAGTACCATTGTGTTATATACTTGCAAATTTCTTGAATGTCATTACAGAAAAAGAGTTAGATTTTGTACTTGCTTATGACCTACAACCCAATAAAATATCATATGCATATTTCCTTTGAAAACCCTACCAGCCCCTAATGATAGAATAAATGTGAAAAAAATAACCTTTTTGATTTTGGATTTACCTTTGGAAATTTTCAAAAAGTTCTCAAGGACCCCTTTAGCACAGAGGGAGAAATATAGACTTCTTATCATTCATATTGGGTCCGTATATCAATATAATGAAATTGATTAGATTAAGGGATATAGTTCATGTGCTATATTGGACAGTTATCTAAATGTAATAAGGCTCACTGATAACTGTTTATGGAAATCACAATATTTCCTCATTTACTGCTAACAAGCTGCACATCAGAGAAATATGCACTTGGATAAGGGACTCTCTTCCTTCTCCGTTTGCTATAAGGGGGATCATGACCCCCACTTAAAAATGTCTAATAGCCACAGACTCTAATAGAAATTCATGGGGTGAGACTACAGAATGTATTCATAGAAGTGAAATAATTTCAAAGATTGGTAACAGTAATTTGTGATCTCTCTCTTTTGTGCTTGTGACCCTGGGGACATGAAAAAATCTGTGTGGATACAGTGTGTTGCCAAGGGAACCCAACTTTTGCCAGGACGATTCCTCCAGGAATATGAGCAAAATCTTTACTCTCCTACAGAGAGAAGTCTCAGGAGTTTGTCCTGCACCTACAGACAGTTAAATAAATATAACTAGCTATGTCACAGTATTCTTCTGCTGATTACAATTCTTTACTGACTGATTAAAACGTTTGACCCTCAAGTGTAGTTTAGAACTTCATAGTCTGTTGCAATTGTATCAGCAATTGTAGCAAATGCTCCCCAATCTGACATTCTCCTCTGACCCTTGCTACATGACTCAAGGGTCTTATCTCCATCAGTACAGACTTCTGAGGAGTAGCCAGTGCTGTTTATGTGAAGAGATTTGCTGGTGCAGAGGTGACTTTCAGCACAGGTAGCTGAGGGAGCACAGAACAGCAGCCGAGACCAGCATGGCTTTGTGGGGAGTCAGGCATTCCTGGGTGAAATAGCGTGAGGCCCCCTGACTCCCGTGTTTGAAGATAAATGGGGGGACACCCTGTTTCAGCCCGAGAACCTTCTGTCTGTTGAGATGTGGTGGAGCTTCTGGGATCTTCACAGCCCTTGAGTAGTCACTGCCCAGTGTGGCTAAACAGGGGACTGTGCAGACACCCAACTCCGTAGGGTGTGAACAAGACTTGGGAAGAATGAGCGGCTTCACATGCAGGTATTTCTTCTGGATAAGCCTCTAATGTGGTCAAAAGGAAAGGAGGACTTGACGTTGCCTGAAGTCACCCCAAACAGGGTAAAGTAACCACTGTTACTGGAAAAGAAAGTTCTAGAACCAGTTTTCCTTACTGAAACGGTGCAGAGGTAAGTTTGTCACATAATTTTTTCTTATTGAAACTTTTCAAGATAAGACTTTAATAATCATTAGTCTCAGAAGCTGTGTTTGTAATGTGTCTGTTCTATTGAAAACTAAGGCATGGTGAATACCAGCATTGGAATGCACAGATGTGGCTTCTATGTCTGCTCATAGTAGTCATGTCACTCAAACAAATAACAATTGGCTTCAGCCCCACCTCGTTTTTGACTTTATTGTGAGGATTACATGGATTATCATAGTGAGGATACAAAGTTTTCTGTTATTGTGGTTTGAGATATGCATCTAATTGGGACCTAAAGCTGTCCTCATGTTTATCTACACAATTCCCTACAGTAGAGAAGATCGTGTTGGTAGGAAATGTGTGGAGGTGATTATGACATAGATGATGGTGATGGCTGCACAGGTTGCATCTAACTCCACATTCCTTAAGGATGGAAAGCTTTCTAGATGTCAACCACCCAACATGAACTGTGCATTTTACCAGAAAAAGGCATTATACGTAAGGTGATTGTACCTGATCTTTTCATGGCTTCTAGACAGGAACAAGCAGATGCTCACCTTCCTTCCACAGAGGTCGTGGGCACACCAAACACCCCCAGGGAGGAGCCCCGCTCCCTGCTCTCTGTCTCCTCCTCAGGCTCACACAGTGAGACAGTGACTACCGCGTGTGAGCACACAGGTATTTTCAAAGACCATTAAGCATTTTCCAGCTCAGCAACGCCTGCTTCAGAACTCCTGTTCACCCAATCTCAACAGTGTCCACAAGGACCTAGAGCAGGGAGCCCCCCGTCATTCATCAGAGGTGTGACCCAAGTGCCTAGGGGGTGCCTAGAACCACTGACAGTGCTGACCTGAAGTGTGCAGGGTTCTCCTGCCCACACACCTGTGA